GTCTCAAATACAGATACTTTCCTTAGATTTTCTCTTAGAGACTTGAATTTATCCTAAAGGTTTCCTGAGTTGATGGAATTTTTCTTTACTGTTTCACACATCTTTTATGAAACTGGCATTAAATAATTTCTTCTTTAACCTAAAGTACATAATATTTCCTTGCCTATAGATTTATTTTTATTTTTCAGATTTAACTATATTATAGCTTAATTTTTTATTTTCACGCCATAACATAGACATGTCATTAGACACTTGAGTCTAATGTCACTCAAATCTTTCAATCAGCATGAAATATTCATATAATATTTTTATTTGCAGAATTATAGGCTTCTTGGACAACTGGCCTTCATTGGAGCAGTGGTTTTCAGAGCCAGAAAATATTTTAATAAAAGTCAATGCTGAAGTAGATAAAGCATTATTACATAAAACAGTAAAAGAAATTTTGATGACTGAAATAGTGAAAAAAAGGAATAAAGGTAATGTGACTACATGTGCAGTTTAATGAGTTCAAAAGAAAAGTGTGTTCGCAAAGTTTTCTCTTGTGTTTGGGTTACGTTATCTCCTAATGTGTCCTACTTCCAATTTTACCTTCTGCTGCAATATGTTTCTGCATAAAAGGTTCTATTCTTCTCATAATTTAATTTATTTAATCAAAAAAAAAAGATCAGCTCACTGAAAGCATTGTTTTCATATGAAAATAGTCACAAAAGAAAAGGAAAGAAAAGAAAATACCAGAGTTAAAATTAAGGATGTTCATCACATTGTATGCCCTGAAGATATATATATATATATATATAGAGAGAGAGAGAGAGAGAGAGAGACTTTGTTAGTTAAATATTTTTAAGTAAAAACTAAAAAAGAATTAAGGGTGCTATAGAAAAGGGTAAAATTTCAACTTATTAATTTCAGCATTATAAGGAAACGGTATAGGAATTCTCTTTTTAGAGTGTAAAACACTAGACAATTCATTTTCCCCAAATCTAGCTATTTTGGTATAGATTTATTAATTCCTTACTTGTTAGCCTATTTCCAGGGTATATCTCACCCACATTAAACCATCCGGGCCTTCTTCCTCCTTTATTCAACCACTAATAATTGCCCATTAACTTTTTATAGTATTACTGGACAATATATATTATTAAAAGGGATCTTAAAGCTCAGTCCAATGCCAGATTTCCACTGGAATTTTGGCATTGAGAAGTAATCCAATAAATAAATGTTTCCTTTTTGTTTATCAATCACTTCTAATTCTTTTGGCAACTATGGTTTCTTGGCATAATAAAAATAGTCAAAGTTAATATTAGAAGGATTCTAAATTTGTCTAGATAACACTCTATCTCCTGACACTAGATTTATACTCTAACTATCATCACATCAGTTAACTGATGTTAAAATAGCTGGTAGCTATAAACCACTATCACCATGGGAAACCAAGAGCTCACACACAGAAAGACAAGCTCCTACATCTAAATTTCCACTCCTTAAAAACACCAGTGTGAAGCTTTCAGATAAAACAAAAGCCAATTGTATAGTATTTTAAAGGGCTTACCATGGCATTTGGCAGAATAGGCTGAGAAATACGAGGAAAGCTTCCATAGCAAACTTACAGAGTCTTGGCTGAAATGCAGAACCAAACTAATTCTGACTTGTAAAGACTTGCAGCTCTAGGTTAGAATCAGTTTGTTTTTAACCAGCTATCAGACTTCACTTTAATATTTTTCCAAAGATGTTTCATTCTAATCACCAACTACATTTATAGACTCAACTATCCCTTATTTAAGATTCATATTTCATTACAGTACCTTGTATTAAACATCTTAATTAAATTAAAAGAAATAAAAAGATGTGGTACTTCTATAATAATTTCAAATAAAAAAATGACCATAATACACTAAGTAGGAAAAACTAGGTTACATATAAAATAGTCACTTTAAAAAATTATATATACACACATACACGTACGCATCCTCCCCACCCTTACCACTTCTATTATATTGCTCTTTATGGTTTTTTCCCTTACTTTTCCACCAGAAATTTTGAAATAATTATTTTCCTATTATCCTTTATTAGCTATGTCTTGATTATTATTTTTACATTTGGCACCCACTCTCCAACCCTTTATACCTGCTCTATACACACTCATACACACCTTCATCTTTACCTCCCCTACTCTCACCACCATCATCACTCCCACCACTACCATTACCACCATCATCATCTCTTCCACCAGCACCACCATCTCCACCACCACCATCATCACTACCATTACTATCATTACCACCATTGCCACTCCTACCATCACCACCTATACTTCTACCACCATCACCACAATTTCTGTCACTGCTGTCACCATCTCCACCACCACAATTACCATCCAATCCCACAACCAACAACATCGTCATCACACACACCAATACCACCACCCTCCATCCCCACCCTCCAATACCACCACCTCCAGCCCCCCCCCCACCCCCATTATCATTTCCACCACCACCACTGCCACCACCCATGACCACCACCATCATCAGAAGAGGCAAGGGAAATCATATTTCTGTCCGTGCAAAGAAGGCTTGAAATTTTAGCTTTAAGGACTAGATGATATAAAGGAGAGTGCTAAAACATGAATTAGCCTTATATCATCAGGTGTAATTTTACATTAACTTAGGTTTCTCTTAGTTAAAATGAAATAGGAGGAGTTCCTAACGAAAGTCAATTCTTATCATTCTTTTGAAGTTGAAAAGAAATTAGAGGAAAAGGAAGCTGAGAGAAAAGCAGCAGCTTCCCTGGCTGAGCCTCCTCCTCCTCCTCCTCCTCCTCCCCCTGCTCCTGTTGAACCAGAAAAAGAGAAGGAAACTCATCCTCACCGTGAGTCCACAAAAACTCCTTCTGGAAAAGGACGATCACTATCAGGTGATTGACAGTATAATTTATAACCCCATTTGCCAGTTTCTTATTTTTGCTTAGTAAAGAATTGTAAATTATAGTCTGTTTATCTAGATTCAGACTTTGGGCAACTTCAGGCATATGAAACAAAACTCAGATGAAAGTGGAAAGTCCCACTGAGTAGCTAAATGTGGTTGTTACAAAGCCCAGGTTCTTTACTGTGTAGGAGAGAATGTGGAATCTTCACGCTTTGGCCTACTGATTAGAATAATCAGATGAGAAGAGGAAACACAGGAATAATAAAAAGTAACTTAGGGCAGATCAAGAAGACAGATGTCTCTTGGCTGTAGAGTTACATTTGTGGAATGACTGAAACCATCTTAATAAAATAAAAAATAGCATAGCCCGTTTACCAAAAGAAGGGGACAATATTAGAAGCATTCATTAGAGGCAAGAATGGATATGTAACTATAAATTTTTAGGACTATGTGATTATAAAAAGATAGAACACCTCAATAAGCATATATTTATAGATATATTGATTAAAAACCTGGGTAGAGAATATTTTTCAGTTTAAATTTTTTCTGGATCCTTAACTGCTAAGGACCATGAGGCTAGCCACATTGAGTAGTAGACAGTGAATATAATGAAAAAAGTAAAATGTGCAATTGTTATAATGTGTGGTATTCATAGAATGTCAATATCCATTTGGTGTGTGTATATGAAACAAATATGACTCTAGTCTCTGGTTTTACCTTTCTAAATGGCTGGCTAGGAAGTCTACCAAGGAATCCTTGATATAGTATCATGATTATATTTCCAAACTCCATTGTCTTTCTGCTTCATGAGTATTTGAAATAGATTTGAATTTTATTTAAAAAATTTAATTAATTCATATTAAAGAACGAAAGTTGAAGACTTTAGTAACATATATTATGATACATTAAAGACGATTTTATTCCAGTAAATTAGAGCTTAACTAAAGGCAAAATACATAAACCCTCAAAAATGTTTCTATCTATCAACAGTAAAACACAAAGCCATGAGTTAACTTTATACCTATTTCCCACTACCTCATTAAAGATTAGAATAACAGTTCAGTGGTCTAGAGGGAAAATGGAAATGTTTAAAATGACTTATAGGAATGGGGAAGATAGTTTTCACAGTGGGTAAGTGAGCCTGGAATTATCCAATTGGCCCTTCACCCATGTTTGTGATTCTACCCATCTCTTCCTCCTCTCCTCCCTAGCCCATATTCAGGAGTGTCTATATATTTAAAGCATTCCCTAAAACCAATCTCCAATGTTTCTGATTATGACACAGTTCATAAAGTCTTTAACTTTCTGAAGTTTCTTTGCTATTGTAAAGTTGTATTTTTAAATACTATGCATTGGAGAAATAATAAATCTATTGTTGCTTCAAAGAATTGTTGTACCTGTCTCTTTTTTTTCCCCCCCACCAAAGGCAGGGCTAGTGCCTAATCTTTAATTTACACAAAGGTTAATCTCTAAAGGTCTACTTACTGTTCTCCAACAGCACTGCTTTCTGGGTAGAAATCTCAACATGGTGGGCATTGGTGGGGAAGAAGACTAGACAGCATTACCCCTGTAGCTCAAGGAGGCTTGGTTAAGTGATTTTATGGAAAGACATTTACTGCAGTTTTTTTTTTTAATTTTGTATGAAAAGGTGACAATATTTTTCAAAAGAGAACAATTTCAGAACTAAAATCCTAAGGCTGCTGAACATGCTCAATGCAAACATTCAATTTAATCTTCTGTAAAAGCTGAGATGAAAAAGGGAATACTTTAGTATAAAACAAAACAAAGAAAAATCAGGTGGAAATGAGGTAAAGAAGGCACAGAACACTGAGTCTTAGCAGTCATTTTGTCTAAAAGTACTTCTGTACTTCATGTAGTTCTGAATTTTATATCTGCTTTAACTACACTTAGTATAAAATTTGAAAACCTTCACAGGTATGCTCTGTTGAAGGATCTGTTATCAAATCCACTACCAAATGTCACTAATTAATTCATAACTAGAGTTCTCAGTGTGACACAGTAGAATAGTACTGCTCATGCTTCTATTTAAGAATATCTTTTGAACTGGGTGTGGTGGCTCATGCCTGTAATCCTAGCACTCTGGGAAGTCAAGGTGGGAGGATCCCTTGAGCTCAGGAATTCAAGACCAAGCCTAAGCAAGAAGGAGATCCCATCGCTACCCAAAAAAAGAAAGAATTAGCCAAGCATTGCAGTGAGCACCTATATTCCCAGCTACTCAGGAGGCTAAGGCAGGGTGATTGCTTGAACCCAGAAGTTTGAGTTTGGTATGAGCTAGGATGATGAAAAAGCAGTCTAGCCTGGGCAACAGAATTACACTGCCTCAAAAAAAACATTTTGACATTTCAGAATATATTTTGGAGCTAATAAAAAAATAGGCAGATTACATGCTACTCCTGGCAGAAATGAGACTTGCCCATAGTATTTTTTTATAAGTTCAGTGTCTTTTACTTTCTTTTCTCTGTCACCTTACACTAAATAGTTTGGAGATAATTAAATATTTGGCTAACCAATATATTTTTATTAAAGAAAGTAGGGGTTTATCAATACCTTTTTTTTAAAATCAAGACTTTTTATATATTAGGATTATTTCTAAAAAAAAACTCAACCAAACATTTCAGCAGCATCTTCCTTCCTTCCTTCCTTCCTTCCTTCCTTCCTTCCTTCCTTCCTTCCTTCCTTCCTTCCTTCCTTCCTTCCTTTCTTCCTTCCTTCCTAGAATGATGGTCAACTGTTGGGATATTTACAAGTTCTTTTAGAAAGCCTACAAAGTTTCAAGGGTAATCCTTCTCTATGTCATTCACTTGTCTTAATTCTATGAAATCTTCATTCTTAAATCTGAGCCATTGAAATGTAAGTGACATGGTGCTTGGCATATACACATTCTTATGACTATCAAATACAAAAAAAAAATAGGTCAGATGGGGTTTCTTTCCATCACAGACATTTAAATTCCAGTACTTGAGCATCCTTCCAGTGGGGGGAGGGGGGTTAGCCCATACCTAAGAAAGGACATTTATTGCATTTGGTGAATAGTGTAGGATGTAGGGAATTTTTCCAAGGAAACAGTTTATTATTTAGGTCGTTTTATTGACCTCAAGGTCATTAGGTTCCTTCATATTTTGAGCTAAATTCCAGAGAATCCAGGATAAATATACTCAAACCATCCTCAGCATTACAAATTACGGTGAGTGTAAAATGCAAATATAGATGTCAACAAGGCAACCAAGTATATACTCAAAGAAAGTCCAAGGATATAACATATCAAAACAATGTGGTCATTTAACTCTTCTTCAAACTGCTTACAGGTCCAATTGTCTTATTATATAATGACCATTTGAGTGAAATAAATCCAAATAGAGCCATATGCTTTGAATGATTTTAGATTAACTTGTGAAACTCCATAACTAGTTCCATTAAAGAATTTATGATGAAAGCTATTACCAAATATTAATAGGAAAACTTTGAACTAAACCTCTCATTGTCACAGAATAGTGCTATTATTCAAGAATTTTTGATCCATACTTTGTCTTAAGATTAATTTTAACTCCCAGCAAAGACTTGAGCCATTTGATATGGTTCACAAATGTAACTATTTATCCATGAGAAATAACATTTGATTGCTTAAAATCATATAGTGAAGGCCATTGAAGTAAATGATCAATGATATTTATATGTTGAATTTTGTTTAGAAACGTCACATGCTAAGAAAGAATCTCTTCAGGAAGGAAAGGGGAAGAAAGGTGAAACTTCACTGAAAAGAAAAGGTACAATAGATAAAGATAGATATGATTACATATAATTCTGCATTTTTAACTGCCTCAGTGAAAATAACTTGATTTCTATAGTAGTATAAATTGACTACTTCTTAGGCATTTGTACATCATAAGCCCTTTCTAAAGAGTATAGCTTAAAACTTTCTGTATCCTGGTTCTTAGCAAAGGGCCTACTAAGAAAAATGATGCTTGTGGGTATGATTTAGGGAATATCTAATATGCAGAATATCCATTCATTATAGATATTACAGATGTTGTTCTATATGGCTAAGCTATGCTATCAGAAAGTATATGCTATCTACTGAACCATATTTTCCTGGACCCCATATTGAATTTCTTTTACTGATAAGCCCTTTGGGAAGAAGTCCTCAACTTTTTGATAAAAATAAAAGTTCTCCAGAACATAGCATAGCTGTAGAGGGAAAACTTTTATTATACAAATATTTTCTGAAGAAATATGCCCACTACATCCTATAATGGCCCTTATATTAAATCCTAGGTGAGAAACTTTATTCAGGATTGACGAGCAGGAAAGCATTTCTCCCTCTGAGTAATTAGATAACGCATACCTCTAAATGACAGCATCTCCCTTTTGGCGTTGGCTGTTTGGAATTTCAGAACCAAACTAGGCTCAGGCTTAGTATCCGCAAAAGGATCCAGATGTGATTATCGGCCTTCTAATTCCTCTTCTGGTTTTGACCTTCTGTTTTGATTGTATTTTTCCTGGTCCTAATTTTATTTATTTTTTTCCATTTTGCTTTAACTATTTCTGTACAGTAAAGAGGACACATTTTAAAAGGGTTTTTGTGTTAGGACATTTATACTCTATACTTAATAGATCCTATGTGTGCCCTTGTAATATGTATGAGGTGAGGGATATATTAACTAGTATCATGTAAGCATTCCAAATTGTATATGAAATCAGCACATTGTACCCCATAAAAATATTAATGTATACATGATCTATGTGTTCATGATTTAATAAAAAATTAAATTAAAAAAAGGAAAAAACTATTTTTTTTAAGTTCATAGAAGAAAATCCCAGGCTTTAAAAGGCATACATACATTGGTTGAATTTATGCTGAAGCTGATATAGCAAACAATTTACTAAAAATTAAAATATAATTATGAATATATATGGTTTGCATCTTCCAAGGTACATTCAAATGATAGTGTCATTGAAGTATGCATGCCTATGTTTAACTATTTATTAAAAAGGGCCAATGCAATTGTAGTCCAAGAGTGTGCAATGTTCACAAAGTTATGTGCTAAAAAGATACTAATTTTGCAATTAAATACATGTGATCACGATTATCAAAGAAAATATCACCCTTCTATGATCATATGACATAATAAGTTTATAGAACTAGAGATAGTTATTGAGTTAAAACCAAGACTAAAATGTAGCTAAAATTTTAAGGAGTATAATTTATGCTCAGTTCTCAGTTGTTTACTGATGGAATAATTTTCACATTTTACATCACTCACCCCTCACTTTCTCATCATTATCAAAACAAGCAAATGAAGGATCCTCACAGAATGATCAAAAATGGACATTAAAAACACTTATGCACATTAGATACCAAATCATCAAAGTAGACATAATATAGCGCATGCTGTAAGAGCATCCTTAATTAAAACCATGTAGTCATCAAATAAACCATAAGCAAATCCACAAGTTCAATACTAACTCATAAGCAAATCCACAAGTTCAACAGAGATAGATAGATAGATAGACAGATAGATAGACAGATATGCCATGTAGTTAGCTTAAATTAACTAATTCAAAAGACTTTTAATGGGTTTTTTCATTTATTTTGCTATTCTGTTTTAAATAATATTTGAAATAAGTGAACTCTCAAACAAGATTTAAGAGTCTTCCTGTTACATAGAAATAGTGTTGTTTGGGCATTTATGGCCACATTTCCTTCATGGGGAAGATGTTACGTGATTTGATTTCTTAATATTTGAAATTAATACCATTGAGGGTGAACACTATTTATTATATCAGTGTCTTTAAAATTTTTTTATCTCCTGGAACACTTGAACCTATAGTTAAACTTCCACAGCATAACTTTTTTTTTTTTTTTTCAGTTTTTGGCGGGGGCTGGGTTTGAACCTACCACCTCTGGCATATGGGGCCAAAGCTCTACTCCTTTGAGCCAGAGGCACCGCCCTCTACAGCATAATTTAAATTATGTTGAAAAAAGAAAAAGAGTAAAAAAAAAAAAATACACTTACTCTGCTTTGAACTTGTTTTGAAAATAATTTCATTAATAATCTTTAAAAATTTTCACAGCATCCCTAAGATCCTCTCATGGCACACCAGTTGAAAATTACTGAATTATATGTTTATCTCACAGGTTATTTGATTACAATTAAATTCAAAGCATCTCTATGAGTTGAGAAACCATCTGTTTTCTCCTTCTTTCTTTTTTTTTTTTTTCTTTTTTTAGAGATAGTCTCACTTTATCACCCTCGGTAGAGTGCTGTGGCGTCACAGCTCACAGCAACCTTCAGCTCCTGGGCTTAGGCAATTCTCTTGCCTCACCCACCCAAGTAGCTGGGACTACAGGTGCCCACCACAACACCTGGCTATTTTTTTATTGCAGTTTGGCCAGGGCCAGGTTTGAACCCACCACCCTCAGTATATGGGGCCAGTACATATACTGAGCCACAAGTACCGCCCATTTTCTCCTTCTTTGAAAACTATTATTTCTTGCTGTTGTCTTTGATTCATTGGTATCCTTCTCTGCATATTTGATCAATCTCTATCCTTCTTCCTCCAAAATCTTAACACTGAGATGCCATTCACAATTGTACTTCTGGTGTTCCTAAACTATTTCTTCTCCTCTTCAGCCCATATGCTACTGTTCCATTATATTTCTTCATAAAACAATGACTTTTCAAACATAGAGCCTTACCCAGGAGATGTTAATTAAAAGCTAAATCCTGAAAGTTTTCCATAATCAACTATGTTCTACATTTAGAAAGTGTCAAGTTACATCATGTTAAAATGTTTTCAATTATAGCATTTTTTTAAATGATAATGTGAATCCCTAAGGGAGTGGTAGATTTAATATATAAGATCCCAGTATATTTTGACTGCAGAATTATTCTCCCTTGGAAAAGTAGCAGTTGGACCAGACTTCTGTGAAAGAAACACTTGGAATAATGTCATCAATGATCTCAGTGGCCTATTCCATGTATTAATATTTGTATTGTTCCAGCACTTGACTTCTGGCTTGACATAAGAATTTTTAATTATTATAGGTACCACCAGGTCATTTATAATAAATGTAGGGCCAAAGTTATAAACATTAATGATGTTCAATTGAAGGATGTAGAAGAACAGAGAAAAAAGACAAAAATGAAATGAAATTGACATAACTGGATGAGCCTGGACTAGTGGCTCTATTAAAGTATGGTCTCTGGAACCACAACATCTGTAAAACCTGAGAACATGTTAGAAACACAAATACTTAGCCCTACTTCAGATCTACTGAATCTCAAAGCTTTAGGAGTGAAGCTCAAGAGTTTGTATTTTATTTATTTTTATTGTTTCAGGTTTATTGAGGGTACAAAGAATTAGGTTACTATTTGAATTTGTTAGGTAGTCCCTCTTATAGTTGTGTCCCATCCCCAGAAGGTGTACCATACACTGTAACCCCTCATCCCTCTCCTTCCCTTTCTGCTCCATCATTCCCCTGCCCCCCACCTTGAATTGATTTGAGTTTTTCTCTTACATGGGTCTATATTAGATCTTCTACTGGCTTCATATTAGAATTGAGTACATTTGATTCTTGCTTCTCCATTCTTGCAATACCTTACTAAAAAGAATATGTTCCAACTCCATCCAAGTTAATACAAAAGATGTAAAGTCTCCATCTTTTTAATGGCTGCATAGTATTCCATGGCATACATATACCACAGCTTGTTAATGCATTCCTGGGTTAGTGGGCATTTAGGTTGTTTCCACATTTTGGTGATTGTAAATTGAATTGTGATAAACAGTCTAGTGCAAAAGTCCTTATGATAAAATGATTTTTTTTCTTCTGGGTAGATGACTAGTAATGGGATTGCAGGATCAAATGGGGGGTCTTATTTCAGTTCTTTGAAGATTCTTCAAACTTTCTTCTAAAAAGATTGTATTGTTTGTAGTCCCACCAACAGTGCAAAAGTGATTCCTTCTCTTCCCATCCATGCCAACATCTGCAGCTTTGAGACTTTTTTAAATTAATTTTAATTAAAATCATAACTGTATACATTTATGGAGTACAATGTGATAATTTGATATACAATGTGGAATGTTTAAACCAAACTGAGTAATATTGCCATCATTTCACTTACTATTTTGGTAAAATATTTAACATTTACTCTTAGTTGTTTTGAAATATACCCTTGCATTGTGCACATTAGGTGAGATCCTACCTAATGTCCTCCTTCCTCCCACCAATTGCCCTCCTCCCTTCCCTGCCTCTCTCTCTCCTCACTCATCTCTTTTGCTAGACTACATCTATGTTTTATCATTCATATCAGTGTGTGTTTATATATTGATTTCATAATAGTATTGAGTATAGAGTATATTGAATACTTTTTTCCCCCATTCTTGAGATACTTTACTAAGAAGAATATATTCCAACTCCATCCAGGTAAAATAAAAGATGTA